CAGCGATCAATTAGTTTCACAACGAGTTATAATCTTATCTTTGAAATAATCTAAGAAATAGTAATACATTATGGCAATTATAAAATTAGTTATGCAAATATAACAATGAAAGGAGGCATGTGCCCAGGAGTGGGACGCTGGCCGCAAGGTTATAGGTCCCACTCTTTAGGTAATATTTAACATGACCGATAATAGCCTCTGGGAGTGAGATGATCGCTACTATGCTGTCTCTAAATGTTTTCATAACTATTGTATAAAATATTATATTGTAAATTGTGCTTTTTTAACAAAAAGTCTCGCTGGGTTTCTTGCTGGTTCTTCCCAGGATAGAGGTTTTTTTGTGAAACAGTGGTAAAAGTAAAAAATGACTTTCAATAATAATTATTATGTACTGTAATTTATATCAAATAAAAATGATTCCATTCTATTCTATAGGCTGTAACTTATTCAGGCAAAACAAAACTGTCGTCTTATATTTACCTACTAGCTGTGCCCGCGGCGTAGCTCGCGAATATAGGTTTTACTTAAAGAATTTGACGTTTAGGGTAAGAGAATATTAAACGATTTATATCATTACTGTATGAATAAGTGGTAACAAAATAAATCGATACGCTCAAAGTTCTAAGTTGTTTATGATAGAGCTTCCGTGTAAACGACGATAGAAGTAGACTTAGCCGGGGCGTACAGAAAAAGGTTGGCATAGAGTTGGCCATGTGCAAAACAATCAGTACTGGGGTCCACTCCTACAACGCGTAAAGTTTGACCTTGCGCTTTATTTACGATCGTCGCATAACACACGCTGAGTGGGAAACACACTTAAAATAGGGATGTTAGATGATCATCGATGTTAAAAATTAAAACTTCGATGTTTTAACATCGATGTTGACACATGTCAAACATCGAAACATCGACGTCAATGAACCCATAATCGATAATTGGGAACTTGCAAACAATGCGAACTCGCGAAATCAATATCAACTAAATCTTGCATCTGCTCTGAAGATTAAAAATTTTGAATAATTCAGAATTCCTGAACGCATCGTTAACCTAAAAAAATGTCAGTATGGTGAGTCAAACTTAATTGTCAAGTGTCATCTGTGATGTCACAATGGTCACTGCTTTCGCTTTATTTTGTAGTGTTGTTGTCGGTTGTCGCATAATAACTATTCTACGTAAATTGATATTCAAGTTAATTGTTACTTTTCCCTTGATGTGTATACCCACATAATTTTAAAACAATGTGTAAGTATCTACACGTATACAAAAACCATCGATAATGGTCATCATCGATGTTTTGAGTAGCCTAAACATCGAACATCGATGTTGAGCTATCGATGCCAACATCGATGTCATCATCGATGTTATAATGTTATTATCCGTATCTTAAAACTGTAAGGAAAGTTATTTGGTATTAGAGGTTTAGAGGGATTCTGGGTATAAAACAATATCACGACATTTATTGCAAATTTACTACTTTTAGTCGAGTTTTCGAGTTTTGTTGAATAATTTCGACGTACGTACGTCTCTTTTTTCTGTTTCTGCCGGTGTTTGTGCTTTGTGTTGTTAGCCTACACGGCTCTAACAGGCTTGCAGCTTCGTCGGACTCATGAACATAAATTTTTTCAGTGAGTGTCAATACGATTCACCTGCGAAAAATCTTAACACCGCAATTCAGAAAAGGTTGTAATTTGTACAACGCCATCTATTACGTTCTTTGTGAGAAAACATCCTTTTTTAATTTAAGGAAAACATATTTTTTTTTACTGTGTTTTAAGTATAAATATATTATAATAGAACATTTTTTTTTACACACGTATCTTTTTATTACTATTTCTGAGATTTTGTGGCGCCATTAAACAGATTCGAACCTACATTTCAAAATAATAATCATAACTTTCGATAGAATTAACCAATTTTAATAAAACAAAGATTAAATGTAACTCGAAGATACGCTTTATGATTTTCTTAACGATTTCTTTGAAAAAAAAAAGATGTTTACTTTAGACGTGATGCTTTCATATAAAAACAGACAGAAAGACAATTCTAAAAATTATAAAAATGTACTTATTTAATTATTTTTAGTTCCCCATAATGATTTTAGTCACCATAATATATATATACAATGTACAGAAAGAGACACAACATGTTATCATCATTTTTATTATATGTATATATTTAAAGAGAGATGGCGCTGCTAACATCAACTTGATGACTCAAACAAAGCCACCGTTGAGCAAATTCCCTACCCATACTTCAGAATATTTATCATAACTTTTGATGGAATGAACCGATTTTAATGAAATAAAGACTAAATGTAACCCGAAGGTTTACTTTATAATTTCCTTAACAATTCTTATGATATAAATTAGTACTTTAAACGTGATACGTTAACAAACAAACAGACAGACAGACAGACAGACAGACAGACAGAAAATTCTAATAATGGTAGAAATGTATTTAATTACTTATTTTTAGTACCCCTCAATCACTTTTATTACAAAAATATAAAATGTACAGACATCTGCTATTTACAGTTTTATTATATGTATAGATAAGTTAAAATTAAAAGTCGCATCAAAATTAAAAAAATAATTTTCGGACACTATATTAAAAACTAGTTCTTTGAAGTTATAGTGCAATTATTTAGAGCGCATAGTGGTGAGGTACTTAAACTTTACAAGAAATAGTAGTCATTAATTCAGACTTTGAAAATTCGACCTTGTTGTTTTGCAATCAGGTTCATGTCTTCTTTAATTTATTACGTATAGAATAACAGACAATAAAACTGGCGGTTCTCATCTAGACATAATTTTTTTACTGCGCTTTATTAATGTTTTATGTTAGCTCTCTCATACTGGTTTATTATGGATTTATGGATATGTATATCATTAGGCTAGTGTATTCTCGAGTTCGTCTTTGTTAGTAGTATCTGATGGTATTTTTAGCCTTACAATTCAAACCAACAAAGATAGAATGGGCGCTGAGTACATTATAATTGAAACCGTAACCAAGCCAAAACCATGCTCTTTCTTTTGTAAAAACATGAATTTTGCACACATATATATCTAAAATTTGCAATCAACAATATGGTTTTAAGTGCATATTACATGTGCGTCTATGAATAGTCTTTTACGGTCTAGAAAGATGTGTGCGTTAGTGCGTGTAAAAAAGTTGAGCATGTTCTCAGTGTATATTTTTATTTGTTTGTCTGTGTTTTATAATTATTAATAGCTACCTTACTGACCGCGACTTCATCCACATGAATGTTTATCGTAATGGTATCGAACAGAGAGAACGTGCCACATAAAACTGGCCGTAAGAAAAACAGTGCTTCGTCACGTCAATTCCGGTCACTTTCGACGACTGTCCTTGAGAATTATTAACAGTTCTGGCAAAGCACATCTTGATAGGAACGGACCGATAGGCCGATGGGGTTTAGGGAAATCTTGGAATAAAAACTAATTGTCCACGCCTAAATTTAATGATTGCGTTTGCTTCTAGAACATTTTTACGGAAAGCTTTTACTTACAGTCTCTTTTTCACAATTTAGCTGCACAGTAAGTGTTTACAATGGAAAGCCAGAAGGATTCAAACTATTTTGAAATTTGTTGGAGTAGTGCACGACGTCATCGGTTTAAGTAACAGAATCAAACGAAGAGAATGACGCCGGATGCGCAGAGTATTGACTACTATGAGAAAAAATGTGAACTGACTCTATTAACATTTAGGTATTTTATCGAAATAACTAAAAGCAAAAATTTAATAACAAAACCTTTAATTACCACTTAGTTAAATTACAATAATGAATAGTGTGCGTTTCGGGTGCTTTTACAGCATCCAAGGTCACAGGGGAGACTGAGGTGTTTGACGTTCCGATGTCTAGTATAGAACGCCGGGAATTAAAAAGTTAAATTAAATGCGATAAAATCCGTACAAATTAGTTTCGTTTAGTGTAATGCAGTTAATGTTATTTGCGAACTACAAAAGTACACCTACTACAGAAACAAGGTGTGTTACGAAAAGGCTGACGTATCCCTTTGGAATAAAAACAGTTTTAAATAAAATAAGATAATTAAAAAAAGTATTCCCCGACCGACCGTTCAGCAGCGTGTGCCCTCATGTAGTGTGCCCTTTCGGGTTGTAGACTTGTAGAGCTACACTAATGTGATACATGTACGTGTTTTGTATTTTCCTGTTCCCAGAAAGTAGACCCGATGCAGCAGAAACACATTATTTCTTAACAGAGATATACCTACAGCAATTTTGAATCAGACGGCTCTATCTCCCGAAATGTGGCAGTTAGTGTTAGAAATAAAAATAACGACAACAATATAAATTATTTAAAAACAATCATTGCTCAGCCGTAACCAAACGCCCATTGATTTTTTATCCAATATCTTTTTTTAATTTTTGATTTTATCACAGAATAATTAGTTCGTTTTATTTAAAAATATACGTGGTAGAGCTATGTTGCAGCTATATTAGTAGTGTAGTTGTAGAACGAATGGATCGGCTTAACCGAAGAAGGAAGACGCTCTCACAGAATACCAGCGTAAAATAGCAGCTTAACACTGCTGTGTTTCGTATGGCGAGTGTAGAGAACCGGAGACCCTTTTTACTGGAAAAGAGGCATTCCATCTTAGTCCTCACGTGTGACAACGCATCTGCATTTTGATTCGCAAACGAGGATAGATGTAGATGTCTATGGGCCACATCAACCACTTACCATCAGGTGGACGGTAGCGTGGTATTCATCACGCTATCCTAGAAAAAAAAATTAAAAACATACTGAATTACCATATAAACTTTCATCTCCTATTATTCATTTATGTCATTTTTCAAAGTGTTTAAAATATAATTACGTTTATATACATATATATTCTATGGTCTATTTAGCAGTGTACGTGACCATAAAAACTAAGGTAATTAGAGCAGAATATTTTGTGATTTTTCATAAACGATTTCGTTTATATTCTTATAATTTAGTTGTAGGTACTCACCAATCCATCACAAGCGGAAATAGCAATACTGGATGCCGGTTGACCTCGGACGGAACCCGTGTAATGGCATGAGGTTGAAGAAGCTTGTGGCCTCTGTCGCGTGCGTCCACTCGCGCCATGACGCTCCACTATCATCGCTGGTGTTATGAATGTTACCGACGGCCTGCACAAATAATACGTCAAATAATTATTTCTATTAATAAGTACTATAGAGTAGGTATAGAGCTATAGCAATGGTGGACTGAAATTGAAAATTTCTGCCGATAAAGTTATGTTATTATCACCGCTTTTTCATCAGCCACTAGGCCTCTTCCGTTATTTTTTTTACAGGATAAGTGTGACAAACGAACACACAGTCTATCTGATGGTAAGTGGCTGCTGTGGCCCATAGACATCTACATTTATCCTCGATTACGAATCAAAATGCAGATGCGTTGTCACCCGTGAGGACTAAGATGGAATGCCTCGTTTCCAGTAAAAAGGGCCTCCGGTTCTCTACACTCACCATATGAAACACAGCAGCATTAAGCTGCTATTTAACGCTGGTATTCTGTGAGAGCGTGGTACTTCCCCGGTCGAGCCGACCCATTCGTGTTACAACTATACCAGAAATATAGCTGCAGCATGGCTCTACCACGTTATTGCGAGGATTTGCAATAATCGCTTTGCTTGGCATACATATTTTGCACTATACTGTACCTGAAATATATTTATGACTATATCATCAGATGTCTTACTACTATATACTATATGTCTAATAACAACATTTACTCTTATGTGTTTAGGTTAGGGCTAAAAACGAAGTGTACGAATACTCCTAAGTTTAGCCGACTATAACTAAATATAACTGATTGCGTTTGGTTAAACTTAGGTCTACTGTTAAATTTGTCAAATATACGAAAGAACGATAATATCAGCGATAGTAGCTTAACTTGCTATGGCTGATATTAGGGGTGAAGATTTTTCTTCAAATTTAAAATAAAAGAATTATTATTGAAATCTGTTCAACTGTTTTCGAGAAAAAAATTATACATATATAACATAGAATTAGAACCGCTTTGTTTTTTGAACTTGATTAAAGAGATTTCAAATGTACTCAATACTGAATATAATATGTTAATTACTGCTAAGTAAGTTATTACCGTTTTCAAAGAGATGCGCTTCATTCAATAATAATTTACTGAGAATTTGCAATCCCAGATCAACGTAAGATTAATGAGTCAACGAATGCAGCGGACCATCGCAATTCGCCACATAAATAAAATAAAGAATGCACTCTTTGCAATTTGCTTTGGCCTTTTACAGACCGCTTCATAATTCCGAGTATAAATATTTAACAAGCAATATTTAATTATCTTCTCTGCTCGTATCGCCACGCTTGTCAGCATTGCATTGGAGATCACGGTCCCAGACATCTGACATGCATCTTTAACACTGTTTCCCGTTTGTATTTTAGGTCTGGTATATACGTACGTCAATGGATGCAGGTGGCTCATGACCGTACTTTGTGGCATTCCTTGTGGGAGACCTGTGTTCAACAGTGAACTTATGAAGGGCTAATGATGATGATATACGTGATGAGTATACCTTCACACATCGGGGGACATAAGATTCTATATATATAGCAGCAGGAGGAATATTATAATATATTATATCATATATTCTCCCACATGATGCCTATGTTGGGAAATACCTAAACTCATGAGAAAATGTAATAAATACAAGTACGTTAAAATATATTATCTTACATAAAAATAAAATGAATAATGGTTTTTACGCATTCATTAAGCTGTCCTGATTAGATAAGTTTTATCAGTAAAGTTTAATTTTACCATTTGTCTATTTTTATATTTAATACATTTTCAAACATGCGATATGTTAGCATACGATGTGATATAAAAAAAAATATAAATGTGAAAGTATGTTTGGATGCTTTTTATATAACAAGGGTGACCAACGAGCACACAGTCCACTTGATGGTAAGTGGATATTGTGGCCCATAGATATCTACATCGATATCTATATCGATTCTCGATTAAGATTCTTAATTCGCATGCGATATCACCCCTAAGGACTAAGATGGAATGCCTTCTTTCCAGTAAAAAGGATCTTTGGTTTTGCACGGCACAGCAGGATTAAGCTGCTATTTTACGCTGGTATTCTGTGAGAGTGTGATTCTTTTTCCACCATTCGTGCTACTACAAGATATATAATAATATATGTAGCTGCAGCGTGGTGCTACCAATTATAAAACGTTCGTCTACCACGTTTGTCCATCATTCACTTTTTTACGGTTGAACAGATTCTAATAAAAGTTAGCATAGAAGTCCATTAAGTCATGAATGTGGAAAATAGAACAATAGGATACTTTATGTAACATTTATTGCTAAAGTTTATTGTAGTTAAATAATTCACTGTTATAACTATGATATTTTTTTTTAATTGATAATGACTTTTATAATAGAAAAGATTTTATTAATTAGAAAGAAAGATAAATCAGTTTCACTTCTGTTATCTGTCATATGGTAATCATAAAAAATAAATAACAAGTTTATTAAAGAGTAAATACATTAATCACTATCCATCCATACAGTATTGATTAATTGTTTGAAACTGGCTTTCGTATCACTAACATTGGTGATTTCTCTTTTTGAATGAACTTATAGTTGTTATTTTTATTTTAGTATCGACAATAACGGTAATTTGGTAACACAATATTTCTGTAGTATTATTTGATTAACATAGTGTTAATGACATTTCCAATTTGACTAGATAAACATTTATTTTAAAAATATAGAAAATATATACATTCAAAATATTTTTTCCAACCTACATGTAAATCTATATATCTGTCAGCTGGGTATATTAGGTTAGTCATACAGTGAAATAAATAAATAAAATAAAGTAAAAATAAAATTTAAACATAAAACTGAATAAGCTTAAAGTTGTGAATAGGTATGTAGTGTGTAACTTGGGATCTTATGTTCAACTAGGTTAATCCGACGCCGATCAAGAGATGAACGAACCTATGAATTCAACTGGGCTGTGTAGTGTTCTAGATATTGTGACATACTTTCTGCTATTGATGGACTAGAGTACTATGATTTACTTACAGCATAGGAACATACATACAATTTTTATGATATGATATATAGGACATAAAGTTTTATTGGCTTAAAGCATAGCGCATATTTATTTGATTGATTGGTAGACAAACGCTCGACCGTTGAACGTTTGTCTGCTAATATATGTATGACTGTCGAGGGTGCAGATTACTTAATGGTTAGTAAATGATGTAGCCCATAGATACTTACATTCATTCTTAATTAAGAATAAAATGCAGATGTGGTGTCGCCTCTGAAGGCAAAGATCAAATATCGTTCTTGTTACTCGCCATAAGAAATCAAGCAACTTGAAATTACTATTTTACGCTTGTATTATTTAAAAACATGATTTTTCCCAGAATGAATAAACCTATTTATGTTGCAGCATCAAATATTAATTTTGATTCGCAGAGCAGAAGCCAGTGACTTGAATTCTGTAGGATAACACTCTATTTTTGTGATTATTAAAATGATTAGGCCTGTGCTTGTAGTACAGAGAGAGTAATTTATTTTTACATGGGAAAATGCCTACGCATACCCGCCTCGCGGGGGCAAGAACGGGTTATGTCGAACTCGCACCGTTAAAACTCCACGGTATTCCACCTTTGCCGCATACTGACAGTGCCACGAGAACCCTTTCGCAAACATACGCGGTCGCACCAGCGCCGGCCGGAGAACTTCTCCTCCCAATTTTCATTTTTAGACCAGAAAAAAAAGCGCACCTTCTTTCGCGGTTTTAACTCCATCTGCGCAACGAAGCTGATACGCGGAGTCCATGAGGCCATAAAAAAACCAATAGTGGAGGGGGGGGGGAGCGTCGCTTCGTGATAGCAAAACTCCTCCCGCGACTCCACCTCGGCTGCAGCGGTAGGGGGAGAGGACCCCTCTCTTGCCGCAGGCCACAAACATATATCCTAAGTGGACTAGCCAAGCCCACTCGGAGTGGTTATCTCGTACCGGCGCTTCACCTCGGGCAAGCCATGTGGGCTCCTCTTTTTCACCATGAGTGACCAAGTCACGGCTACTAAGCCTCTTGCCACGACAATGCGGGAACCCGTTTGGAGGAGACAGGAGAGAGTAATAAGCTATATTTACCATTGCCAAAGCATTAGAGAATCTTTTAGTTTTTAACACAAAATTTTCAGCCGGACAACTAGGCGGATAAATTGCGGAGTTCTTTATTTAAAACATCGATGATTAAATTAAAAATATTAAATAGAACTCGAATAGCAATATATTTTTTTCATAGTAGTAGCTGCACGGTGGACTCTTCCTTTTTCTAAAACGTCTTAAAAATGAGATGAGGCCTTAGCCAAGCAGTGAGACGTATATAGGCTGTTACTTCATTCACTACCCAGAGAGAGTCGTAAGTAGAAAAAGAGCCCTCCCAACTAATTGTAAAGTGTGAATAAGATAACAGACAAAGGTTTTAATTGGACGTGCTGAAAACCATTTCAAAAATATTCTAAATTGGCAATAAATTGCGACATAAGCGCATATTGGCCAAGGTATCTGTCCAATATGTCGACGGCCATAAAAAGTAGATTCCGAGTTAGCACTCGCCTTTGATTTATCGCGTAAGTATTCCCATGGCCGGTCTGAGACGTCGGCCGGAAAACGAGGAATGCAACAATTTATCGGTCGCAACGGAAAAGGCGAAGATATAGTGCCGTCATTGCCACCTTATTGACAAGACTGTTGTTAATATGGATTTGACCGTTTTATTGAAAGAAATCGGTACCACGCTACTAGTTATTTTTGCTGTACTACTCAGTTGCAGTTGAAAGCTTATAACTGAAAATCGTGTTAACAATAACTTTTCGTGATTTTTAATATTCTACGCAAAAATCAAACAATGTCTGGTCTACGTTAAAATTATTTTAAGTCACGGTGGGCAGTTTAACCTTGAGCAGGGTGAGCTGTCGATCGGCAGGCAAACAGGTCGAGTGGCAACTAAACACACAGATAAGGCTCATTACGGCAATTAGTGGAGGTAAATATGGCCGCCCCAGATATACTCGGCACGTCGCATCGGCTGCATGTTGACACACTGTACTCG